TGTCCCCATGTCCCCATGTCCCCATCTCCCCCATATCCCCATATCCCCCTATCCTCCTGTCCCCATATCCCCATACCCCCTCTCCCCCCGTCCCCCTGTTCCCATCCACACTGGGGTTTCATGCCCTTCCCAGCCCTGGGGTCCCCTCCCATGCCATCCCAACGCCCACCATGGGATTCTTGGTGCACCCAGTCCCAAAACCACATTGGGGTTCATTTCCTCCCCAGCCCCTTCCTGCTCCCACCCCACCCCACAACTCAAAGCACGGGGTCTTCAAATCCGACTTTGTGGGGTCCCCTCCCGTGCCATCCCAACACCCACCATGGGGTCTCAGTGTGCCAACTCCCAAAACCACACTGGGGGTTTTCTGCCCTCCCCAGCCCCTCCCTGCTCCCACCCCACCCCAAAGCTCAAAGCATGGGGTCTCCAAATCTGACTTTGTGGGGTCTCCCCCCGTGCCACCCCGACGCCCCCGGTGACGTTGTGGGTTCATCCATTCCCCAAAGCACGCGGGGTGACCCCGTGGGATTCTCGCCCTCCCTGCCCCTTTCCTCCCCCCGCAGCTGCTCATGGCTTGGGGTCCCCAAATCCCCCTCCGTAGGGCTGGCTGCTCTAAAGGGCGAGGAGGAGGAGGAGGAGGAGGAGGAGGAGGAGGAGGAGGAGGGGGGCACTCACGCAGCACGCTGAGGCTGAGCGGCGCCGAGGATTCGCTGCCCCACGCCCCGCTCAGCCGGCACTGGTAGAAGCCGCTGTCGGCGCTGGACACGGGGCCGAGGACGATGGAGCCGCGCCGGCCGTCCCGCAGCCAGCGGTGGTCTTTGTACCAGCTGTAGTTGGCCTCGACCCCCAGCCCCGGCCCGGCCGAGCAGCTGATGGTGACGGTGGCGCCTTCGGGGACCTCCGCGGACGGCTCGGCCGCGATCCGGACGCCTGAGCGGGGGGAGGTCGGCACGGGGGGCGCGGAGCGGCGCTGCCCATCCCCGATGGGCCCCGAGCCGCTGGGGGGCAGCCGGCCCTCGGCGCGGGGTGGGGGTGGGGGGGGTCCGGGGGGGTCCCTCCCAACCCAGCCGTGCTGTAAGGAGCCCCCAAGCCGAGCCACGGCGATGCCACGGCCGTGCGGGGCAGCAGATGGCCGTGCTGCACCAACACAGCGACCCCACAGCGACACTACGGCCATGGCGACCCTACAATGATGTATGGCTATGACATGGCGACCCCACAGTGCCACTATGGCCATGGTGACCCTACAATGCCACTATGGCCATGGTGACTCTACAATGCTACTATGGCCATGCCATGGTGACCCCACAGTGCCATTATGGCCATGGTGACCCTACAGTGACACTATGGCCATGGTGACTCTACAATGCCACTATGGCCATGCCATGGTGACCCCACAATGCCACTATGGCCATATATGTCGTGGTGACCCTACAATGCCGCTATGGCCACACCATGGTGACCCTACAATGACACTATGGCACACTGTGGTGTCTCTATGCTGATGCTACGGCCACGCCATGCTGGCCCTACGGTGACCCCATAGCCACGATGACCCTACAATGGCAGCATGGCACACTATGGTGACTCTACGATGATGCTTTGGCCATGCCATGAAGACCCTATGATGACCCCACAGCCACGATGACCCTACAATGGCACAATGGCACACTCTGGTGACCCCATGCCGACGCAGCGCCGCGCCACGCCGGCTCTGCCCGCAGTCGCACCCAGCCCATGACGGCACTCACCGCTGGCAGCGAGGAGCAGAGACGTGTTCGCAGCTCCCAGGCTGTTGTTGGCCACGCAGACGTGGAGCCCCGCAGCCCCCGGCCCCTCCAGCCTCAGCCGCAGGGCGTTGGGAGCCGCCCCCAACCCGGGGTCCTGCGTGGAGCCCAGCGCCGTGCGGCCGCGCAGCAGCAGCAGGCGGGAGGGGGGCTGGCTGTCCACCGTGCACAGCAGCTCCCGCCGCCCGCCGCCCCTCTCTGCCAGCACCACCAGGGAAAGCTGCCGGGGGGGGTCTGCAACGACAAGGAGCCGCTTCAGCCCCCGGCTCCTCCTGCTGTCTGCTGTCACGGAGTCGGCCACAGAACGGGCAGCGTTGGAGGGGACCCCAAGGATGATGAAGCTCCGACCCCCCGGCGCACGCAGGGCCACCAACCTCCACATTTCACAGCAGCCCAGGCTGCCCAGGGCTGCATCCAACCTGGCCCTGAACACCTCAGGGATGGACGGGGCATCCACAGCCTCTCTGGGCAGCTGTTCCAGCACCTCACCGCTCTCACAGCAAACAACTTCCCCCTCACATCCAACTGAAATCCGCCCTCCCTCAATTCCAACCATTCCCTCGTCCTGCTGTCATCTCCCCTTCCCAAGAGCTGACTCCCCTCCTGTCTGTAGGCTCCCTTTAGGTGCTGAAGGCTGCAATGATTCACCCCGCAGCCTTCTCTTCTCCATGCTGAACAAGCCCAGCTCCCCCAGCCTGTCTTTGTAGTGGAGGTGCTGCAGCCCTGCTCATCTCTGTGGCTCCTCCAGACCCTCTCCAACAGCTCCCTGCCCAGCAGCTCCCTGCCTTTCCTGTACTGAAGGCTCCAGCCCTGGACGCAGTGCTGCAGACGGGGCGTCATGGAGGCAGAGCAGGGAGGGACGATCACCTCCTGTCCCTGCTGTGCAGCCCAGGATCCCGTTTGCTTTCCGAGCTGCTGCTGTTGGCTGCCATCCATGGGCGAGGCAAGGAATGGAGGCCAAGCAGCCCCCAGGCATCCCCCCCCCCATCCCCCCCAGCCCCCCATGTTTGTGCCATGCTGCCTTCTGGGCTCTGTGCGAAAGAACGGGGGAAAATGGGAGGGTGCTCAGATGTGCAGGATGTGCCTGCAGCTCCAGGTCGAGTTGGGAACACACTTGGGGTCCAAGTGCTGATGGCATGGATGGCACGGATGGCACGGATGGCACGGATGGCACACCCCGTGGAGCTCCCTTTCCTGAGGTCAGGATTGCTGGCACTGTAGGTGGCACAGCTCAGCCACGAGGTGTGCCTGGAATTCACGGGTCCTCCTTTGCATCTGTGCGCTGGGATCTGGGCCAGGTGTGACTTTTGCCACCGAGGTCACTACGTGGCATTAAATGCTGAGCCAATGCAGGAAACCCAGGCTGGCTGACAAACCCCTGCTTTTGCTCTGTGATCTGCACTGGACGACGCCTGCTGGAGGCCCAGCGTCAGCAGGGTACAAAACACCTGGGAACCCTAACAAAAAATCCTCCCGTTTTTCCCCAGAGCAGCTCCATTCCTTACACCTGCACGATCTCTGAGGAGCGTCGAAGAGACCACAGCGCCCGTCGCGCACGGAGCCGCTGCTCTCCTTGCAGCTCCCGTTAATTACTAAGCCACAATCAGGGGGACGGATCCCACCCTCCGAGACCCGCCGCCCACCCCACGCAGAGCGGCTCCTCGGCTCCTCCATCAGGACGGGGCCGGCGGTCGCCAGATGGCGACAGAGCCCACCCTGCCCTCCCCACCGGCGGGACCCCCCTCCTCCCCCCCAGAACGAGCCCCCCCGGCCCCACTCACACAGCACCCTCAGCTCGGCAGGGTCGGCCCGTTGCGTGCGCGCTCCCATCCTGGCCACGCAGCTGTAGGTGCCCGCGTCGCCGCTGCGGGCGGCGGGGAGCAGCAGGGTGGCGGAGGGACCTTCCTGCAGCCACCGCCCGTTCCTCAGCCACGCGTACGTGGTGCCCAGCTCGGGGGACGCGTCCTCGCAGCTCAGTGTGACCGCAGTGCCCTCGCGGACCTCGGCGGCAGGGAGCACCCGCACCCTGAGGGCTGCAGGGCTCGGGGTTAGGGGTGCTGCAGCTCCGTGGAGCGCCTTGTTGCCGAGATCCACAGCTGTGCCATGGGGCAGCCTCGTCTCCATCCTCATCCACAGCCTTGGGGCAACCTCACCTCCATCCTCATCCAAGCCATGGGGCAACCTCACCTCCATCCTCATCCAAGCCATGGGGCAACTTCATCTCCATCCTCATCTACAGCTTTGGGGCAACCTCGTCTCCATCCTCATCCACAGCCATGGGGCAACCTCACCTCCATCCTCATCCCCAAGCTCACACGTGGATCACCATCACCCCACACCACGGAGCACCATGGGTGAACCTCACCCCATCTCCATGCTATAGAACACCATGGAGCACCCTCACCCCATGCCCACCCCTGGACCACCTCACCCCCACTGGAGCATCATGGATGAACCTCACCCCACAGCCACCCCATGGAGCTCCATGAAGCACCCTCACCCCACACCCACCCCATGGAGCACCATGCCCATGCCCATGCCATGGACCACTTTGCCCCCAAGCACCGTGCACCCCATGAAGCACCCTCACCCCATGGCCACCCCATGGATCCCCTCACCCCCACTGGAGCACCACAGATGAACCTCACCCCACATCCCACCCCATAGAGCACCATGAAGCACCCTCATCCCATACCCATGTCATGGACCACCTCACCCCCCAGCCCCATACCCACACACCATGGAGTTCCCTCACCCCATGCCCACCCCATGGACCACCTCACCCCCACTGGAGCACCATGGATGAACCTCACCCCACAACCACCCCATAGATCACCACGAAGCACCCTCACCCCACACCCACCCCATGGAGCACCATGCCCATGCCCATGCCCATGCCATGGACCACTTTGCCCCCAAGCACCGCACACCATGGAGCACCCTCACCCCATGCCCATCCCATGGAACAACCTTACAACCTCACCCCACAGCCACCCCACGCAGCTCCATGAAGCACCCTCACCCCACGCCCACCCCATGGAGCACCACGGAGTTCCCTCACCCCCACCCCTACGGCCGCACCACGCAACACCTCACTCCACGCACCGCACATCACCCTCACCCCAAATCTCCGTGTCCACAGCGCCAAACGGCTCCATCCCGAGCCCCCCACCCAGGCACGCATCTCCCCGCCCCGCGCCTCCCCCCCCGCCCCGCCCCGCCCGCACTCACCCCGCACTCGGACGCTGACGGAGGTGTTGGCGCTGCCGAGAGGGCTGCGTGCCCGGCACTCGTAGCGGCCCTCGTCCCGCGCGGTGGCCGCCGGCAGCTCCACGCGCAGCGCGTTGGGCGCTCGGGGCCCCACGGCGGCACCGGGGGCCACCGGCTGCCCGTCCCTGAGCAGGCTGAGCTCAGCCGGGGGGCTGCTGTCGGCGGTGCAGAGCAGGATGAGGGCTCTGCCCCCGCTGCTCTTGGTGAAGGATTTCAGCCGCAGGTTGCGGGGAGGGTCTGGGAACGAAAGGAGAGCCGGGCTGCTGACGGCGATGCCGCGCCGTGCGCCGCGCTGTGCCCGCATCGCCTCCCATCCCTGCGGGCATCCGAGGCCGGGCTGGATGTGGGGTGGGATGTGGGATGAGTTGTGGTCCTGTGCGACCCGGGCCGTTCTAGGATTCTGTGCGTCTCTGTGAGTCTCTGTGGGTCTCTATGAGTCCCTATGGGTCCCTATGGGGGATCTATGGGGATCTATGTGTCCCTGTAGGGCATCTATGGATCCCTCTGGGTCTCTATGAGTCTCAGTAGGTCTCTGTGTGTCCCTGTGTGTCCCTATGGGGATCTCTGGAGATCTATGAGGGTCTATATGTCCCTATGGGGGATCTGTGGGTTCCTATGGGTCTCTGTGAGTCTCAGTGGGTCTCTATGTGTCCCTATGGGTCCCTATGGGGGATCTATGGATCCCTATGGGTCTCTATGAGTCTCTGTGGGTCCCTATGTGTCCCTATGGGTCCCTAGGAGTCCCTAGGGACCTCCTCACCCCCACTGGAGCACCATGGATGAACCTCACCCCACAGCCACCCCACGGAGCTCCATGAAGCACCTTCACCCCACACCGATGTTATGGAGCACCATGAAGCACCCTCACCCCACAGCCACAGGGATCTATGGGGGTCTATGGGGATCTATGGGGATCTATGGGGGTCTATGTGTCCCTGTAGGGGATATATGGATCCCTATGGGTCTCTATGAGTCTCAGTAGGTCTCTATGTGTCCCTATGGTTCCCTAGGGGGGATCTATGGGGACCTATGTGTCCCTGTAGGGGATCTATGGATCCCTATGGGTCTCTATGGGTCTCTGTGGAGATCTATGGGGGTCTATATGCCCCTATCAGGGATCTATGGGTCTCCATGGGTCTCTATGAGAATCTACGCATTCTATGGGGTATCTATGTGTCCTTATGGGTCCCTATGAGGGATCTATGTGTCCCTATGTGTCCCTATGGGGGATCCCTGGGTCCCTATGTGTCCCTATGGGCCCCTATGGGGGATCTATGCGTCCCTAAGGGTCTCTATGGGTCTCTATGGGAATCTATGCATTCTATGGGGTATCTGTGTCCCTATGAGTCCCTATGGGGGATCTGTGGGTCCCTACGTGTCCCTACGGGTCTCTATGGGGATCTGTGTGTCCCTGCGTGTCTCTCGGTGACCCTGCACACGGCAGGCGGTTGGAACGAGGTGATCATTGCGCTCCTTTCCAACCCAGGCCATTCTAGGATGGGTCCCACGACCCCAGGAAATCAAAGCACGGCTCCGAGCGGCGTGCGAGGAGGGCAGCCCAGCAGCACAGCGCACGCGGGGCGCCCCGCTCACAGCCCGCCCACAGCCCCACGGCTTTCCTGCATCCTACGGCCGAAATTCCTCCGTTCCAGCGCGGAACGCAAAGGAGGAGCGGGGAAAGGCAGAGGGGGTCCCAAAACCAGGGCGGGGCGTTGGTGGTCTCCACCCCCGGGGCCCCGCACTCACATCGCACCCGCAGAGCGCTGGGCTCCGTGCTGCGGCTGCCCGCGGGGCCGTGCGCTGCGCAGCGGTACGAGCCGGCGGCGGCGGGGGTCGCGCTGAGGATGGTGATGGTCGGGTCGGGGCCGGAGCTGAGCAGCACCCCGTCCCGGAACCACGTGTAGGTCAGAGCGTCCCGGGCTGCGCTGTGGACGGCGCAGGTCAGGTTGACGGTGTCACCTTCGAGGACGTCCGGGGATGGAGAGATCCAGAGGTGGGCGGCTGTGGGGGGGTGAGGGGACGGCGGAAGGAGATCTGGGCTCGGCGCCGCTGGGCTCCTTCCCGCGGAGCCACGGAGAGCGCTGCAATCGCAGCCCCGCGTCCCACAGCACGCCCCGTGCCGTCCGACATCCCGCTGCACATCCCGCCCCGCTCCCACACCCACCGCACACCCCACCCCACTTCCACATCAAACGGCTCACCTCACCCCAAAGCCCCACCCCGTCACACCCCATCCCGGTTCTGCATCCCATTTCCACACCCCATCCCGGTCCCACATCCCAGTCCCACACCCCATCCCAATCCCCTATCCCATCACACACCCCATCCCAATCCCCTATCCCATCACACACCCCATCCCAATCCTCCATTCCCATCACACACCCCATCCCAGTCCCACACGCCATTGCACACCCCATCCCATTTCCACATCAAATTGCACACCCCATCCCAATCCCATATCCCACCACACACCCATCCCAATCCCCCATTCCTATCACACAACCCATCCCAATCCCCCATTCCCATCACATACCCCTTTCCAATCCCATATCCCATCACACAACCCATCCCACTTCCCTATCCTACAACACACCCCATCCCAATCCCCTATCCCAACACACACCCCATCCCAGTCCCACAACACATTGCACACCCAATCCCCCATTCCCGCCACGGACCCCACCAGTCCCATATCCCACCACACACCCCATCCCAATCCCATATTCCCATCACACACTCCATCCCAATCCCACAACCCACCTCACACCCCATCCCAGTCCCCCATTCCCATCACCACACCTGGACCCCATCCCGCCCCACACCCCATCTCACTGCCCATCCCACCCCATGCCCCCCCGCCCCAGCCCCGCTCACTGCCTGCTGTCAGGTTTGCGGTGGCGCTGGCGTTGCCGTAGGCGTTGCTGGCAGAGCACTCGTACTCTCCCTCGTCCTCCAGCTGCACCCCACTGATGCCCACCCGCAGGCTGTTGGTGGCCGCGGTGACGCTGAGCCGCGTGGCGGCGGCCGATGGGGACGGCAGGCCGGAGGCCAGCAGAAGCCCGTCTTTGTGCAGCCGCAGCAGAGCCGGGGGGCGGCTGTCCACGTGGCACTGCAGCACTGCGCCGCGCCCGCCGGGAGCCTCCAGCAAGGAGCTGAGCACTGGGACCCGGGGGGGGTCTGCGGGGGGAGATGCGTGGGGCCGTGAGTGAGGGTGGGCAGCACCCCGCCGCTCAGCAAAGACGGGTGGCCTTGGGGCCAGCCGGTCATTCGGGTTGGAGAAGACCTTCGAGGTCATCGAGTCCAACCATCAGCCCATCACCTCTGTGATTCTGTCATGGAATCATTCAGGTTGCAGAAGACCTCCAATGTGTTTGAGTCCAACCATCAGCCCATCGCCTGCATGATTCCATCACAGAATCATTCAGGTTGGAGAAGACATCCGATGTCTTTGAGTCCAACCATCAGCCCATCACCTCCGTGATTCCATCATGGAATCTTGCAGGTTGGAGAAGACCTCCGATGTCATCAAATCCAACCATCAGCCCATCGCCTCCATGACTCCGTCACGGAATCATTCAGGCTGGGGAAGACCTCCAATGTCTTTGAGTCCAACCATCACTCCATCGCCTCTGTGATTCCATCATGGAATCTTGCAGGTTGGAGAAAACCAACAGTGTCTTCAAGTCCAACCATCAACCCATCGCCTCCATGACTCCACCATGGAATCATTAAGTCTGGAGAAGACCTCCGATGTCATCAAATCCAACCATCAGCCCATCTCCTCCATGATTCCATCACAGAATCATTCAGGTCGGAGAAGACATCCGATGTCTTCAAGTCCAACCATCAGCCCATCACCTCTGTGATTCCATCATGGAATCATTCAGGTTGGAGAAGACCTCCGATGTCTTTGAGTCCAACCATCAGCCCATCGCCTGCATGATTCCATCACAGAGTCATTCGGGTCGGAGAAGACGCCCCACAGCTTTGAGCCACCCCTCAGCCCATCAGCTCCGCGTCTCAATCGTGGAAGCACCTCCCTCACACTGAGGGTTCCGCCCGCGCCGTGCCCACCACAGCCCCACAGCGCATCCCACCCCACTCCGCCCGTCCCCACGGCACCCCACTCACAGAGGACACGCAGGGTGACGGCAGGGGACACGCTGGCGTTGGTCCCCGCGGGGCCGTGGGCTTTGCAGTGGTAGGAGCCGGCGGCGGCGCTGCTGATGCGGGGCAGCTCCATGACAGCGTCGGTGCCCTCACGCACGGGCGCCCCATCCTTGTACCAGGAGAAGATGGTGCCAGGCGCCGGCTGCCCGGGCGCCTCACACGTCAGGGACACATCGACCCCCTCCAGCACCTCTGAGGACGGCGTCACCAGGACGCGGGCGGCTGGGAGAGGAGAGCCGCGCGGGGCGCGGGCCGTCACTTGGGCGCTTCTCCCGGCCGGGAGGGGACGCAGACCCCGGGTTGGCGCCGGGTGTCCACGCACGCGGGGCTCTGAGCCCCAGCCTGGAGCGGCCGCGGCTGCCCCATCCCCTCCCAGAGCCGTCCTCACCCTGCACGCGGAGGAAGAGCTGCTGCACCGCGGTGCCGAGCGCGTTGGCGGCGGTGAGGCGGTAGCTGCCCTCGTCCTCCGGCGTCACCTCCCGCAGCTCCACCCGCAGAGCGTTGGGGGCGGCCACGGCGCTGACCCGTGGGCTGGGGCTGTGCCCCCCGCCGCTGCTGGAGGCCACCAGCTGCTCCCCGTGGTGCAGGGACAGCTCGGCCGGGGGGTTGCTGGCCACCGACGCCTGGAAAACGGCCAGCCGGCCCCTCTGCGCCTCCAGGAAGGCGGTGAGGTGGGGGTCCCTGGGGGGGTCTGCATGGGATAGAGCACAGATATTGCGTGGTGACACCGTGAGTCCACTCCCAAGTGTGACCCCGTGCCCAGAAAGGGGACCTGGCACCCAGAGGGGGACCCTGTGCCCAAGAGGGGACCCTACGCCAAGAAGAATTCTCGTGCCAAGAGGGGACCCCGCACCCAGGAGGGACTCTGCCCTGAGAGGGGACCCCACATCCAAGAGAGGGGACCCTGCACCAAGAGGGGACCCTGTGCCCAAGGTAAGGCAACAAACCCCAGCACGATTTGGGATTCGTGCACTCAGTGCATGGCCGTGCTCAAATCCCACTGCCTCCAAGCCCAACCCAGAGCCCCAAATCCCAAGGCCCCAAACCTCAGCACCCCAAACCCCAAGCCCCAAACCTCAGCACCCCAAGGCCCACACTCACACAGCACATCCAACAGCACAGCAGCGGAGCTCCGGCTGCTGCTCCCGCTGACGGCCACGCAGTGGTACAGCCCCGCGTCCCCAGCTGTCACCCGTGGCAGCAGCAGGGCTGCAGTGGGGCCAGCGGGGAGCTGCTGCCCGTTCCGGTACCAGGTGATGTTGGGACGGGTCCCGGAGTCGCTGCTGACCTCACACGTCAAGTTGGCAGCACGGCCCTCGAGCACGCGGGGGGACGGGGACACCGCGACACGGGCAGCTGGGGGCAGGCAGAGGTTCCTTCCCACCCAACCCTAACAGGATTCTATGGCCCTTACCCATAGGATTCTACAGCCTTTACCCCTCCAACCCAAACCCCACACACTGCATGGTGCTGTGATCTCCAGGGACCCTTCCAACCCAAACCCAAGCCATTCCACGGGTCTACGTTCTTCAAGGAGCTGCCAACACAACGCACTCTTTCATTGTGATCTCAAGCAAGCCTTCCAACCCCATCATTCTATCATTCTATGATCTTTAAGGACCCTTTCAGCCCAACTGTTCCATAGTTCTGTGATCTTGAAGGACCCTTCTAACACAGCCCATTCTATCATTCCATGATCTTGAAGGGCCCTTCCAACACAACGCACTATTTCATTCCATGATGTTGAAGGACCCTTCCAACCCAATCCTTCTATAATTCCATGATCTTTAAGAACCCTTCCAGCACAACCCACTCTATCATTCTACCACCTTGAAGGACCTTTCCAACCCAACCATTCCATAACTCCATGATCCTGAAGGACCCTTCCAACTCAATCAGAACCCATTCCTTGGTTCTGTGATCCTGAGTGACCCATCCAACCCAACCCATCCCATCACCCCAACATCATCCACTTTCTCTCCCCCGCCCTCCTCCCCTCTCCCTGTTTTTCCCTCCGCCCCCCAGTCCCTCCCCCCTCCCCAGCACTGCACTCACTCTCAGCACTGAAGGCGATGGCTGCACTGGCGTTGCCCTGCGCGTTCCCAGCCCGGCACACATAGGTGCCCTCATCCTGCAGCACCACGTCCTGCAGCTCCAGCCTCAGGCTGTTGTACGAGGCAGCGACGCTCCGCCGTGGGCTGGGGGCCGGGCTGCAGCCCCTCGTGCAGGCCACCACCTCGTCCCCCCGCCACAGGCTCAGCTCAGCCTCCGGCTCGCTCTCCACCGTGCACTGGATGATGCCCAGCTGCCCGCCCTGCCTCTGCAGGAAGGAGCTCAGCACCGGCTGCCTCGGGGGGACTGCGGGTAAAGCAGCGTTGGTGAGAACACAGCAGGCGCTCAGGGGACCCCCAGAGAGAGGAACCCCCCTTCCAGCATCCTCCCCACAGCACAGCGTCCCGTATCCGCAAGGGATCCCCGTGTCCCCCAGCAGGGAGCTGGGAGCCTGCGCACAGAATCACAGCATCCCAGAATCGTAGGGGTTGGAAGGGACCCACAGTCCAACCCCCTGCCAAAGCAGCTTCCCTACAGCAGTCACACCAGTAGGTGCCCAGGCGGGTCTTGAATATCTGCAGAGGAGATTCCACCACCTCCCTGTGCAGCCTGTTCCAGCGCCCCGTCACCTCACCTAAAGAAGTTCTTGCGCACATTTGTGCAGAACTTCCCATGCTCCCAGTTTCTGGCCGTTTCCCCTCATTCTGTCTCCACACACTGCTGAAAACAGTCTGACAACACACATCCCAAACCGCAACAGCCCCACTGACAACCACTCACAGAGCACCCGCAGCAGGACGGCCGCCGATGTGTCTCCAACAGCATCCCCAGCAGCGGCAGCATCCCCATCGTCAGCATCCCCATCCTCAGCATCCCCATCGTCAGCATCCCCATCGTCAGCATCCCCATCGTCAGCATCCCCTTTACCAGCATCCCCATCGTCAGCATCCCCCTTAGCAGCACCCCCACGGCTCTGGGGTCGGCACTGGAAGGCGCCGGCGTCGCTGCCACGCGCGGCAGGGAGGTGCAGCACCGGCTCCGTGCGCCCCGCCAGCCGCCGGCCGTTCCGGTACCAGGTGAAGGCGGGGCTCCCCGGGGCGTCCGCCGGTGTGACGCAGCGCAGTGTGACGGCTTCACCCTCACGGACCTCCTGGGAGGGGTGGATCAGCACCTGGGGGGCTGCGGAGGGTCGGGGTCATGGTTAGGGTCAGGGTCAGGGTCAGGGTCAGGGTTAGGGTTAGGGTTAGGGTTAGGGTTAGGGTCAGGGTCAGGGTTAGGGTTAGGGTTAGGGTTAGGGTTAGGGTTAGGGTTACGGTTACGGTTACGGTTACGGTTAGGGTTGAGGTTTGGGTTAGGGTTAGGGTCAGGGCTAGGGTTGGGGTCATGGTTTGGGTTTGGGTTAGGGTTTGAATTGTGGTTAGGGTTAAGGTTAGGATTAGGTTTAGAGTTGGGGTTGGGGTTGGGGTTAGGTTGAGGTTAGTGTTGGGGTTGCTGTCAGGGTTAGGGGTACGGTTAGGGTTAGAGTTTTGGTTACGGTTGGGGTTAGGGTTGAGGTCAGGGTTGGGGTTCTGGTTAGGGTTAGTGTTACGGTTAGGGTCAGCGTTGGGGGCCATCAGGGGAAGCTCTACCACAAAACCTTCCGCTTTCCACCCCGTCCTTCCCCAAACATGGACCCACAGGACGCGGTGATGGAAGGCACTGGGGATGTCCCCCCCAGAGCCACTGCCATCAGTGGGGACCTACAGGGGTCAAACACTTTTTGGGGTGTTTGTTCCCAGGAAAGGGACGGAGGTGGCACGAACTCATCCCCCTGATCCCACTGCCAACCAAAGCCCAGCTGGCCGACCCCACAGCTCGGCTGCAGGAAGCACTGAATAGGAAGCACTGAACCCTGAGCTCCGCTTCGGTTCCTTCCGCCATCCTAAGTGGCGTCCCCCCGGAAGCCCTTCGGGGGTCTTCACCCCGTCCCCCCCCCAAATCCCCGCTGCCCCCCGCTCACCACGGGTGCTGAAGGGCCGTGTGACGGAGGCGCTGCCCAGGGCGTTGGTGGCGGTGCAGCGGTACAACCCGCCGTCCCGCAGCCGCACTTCGCGGAGCTCCATGCGCAGCGCATTGCGGCCGGCCGTCACCGCCCTGCGCCGCCCGGGGGCCACGGGAGAGCTGCTGGTGGCCACCAGGTTGTCCCCGTGGTACAGGGCCAGCACGGCCGGAGGGCGGCTGTCCACCACGCAGCGCAGCACCGCCAGCCCCCCGCCGTGCGGCTCCTGCAGCAGCGTCAGCACGGGGGGCCGGGGGGGGTCTGTGGGGGGGGGGGGGGGGGGTCAGCGGTGCAGCGGGCTCTGATGGCACCCAGCGCCTCAGCACCCACGGAGCCGCGGGGATGGGTGCTGGGCCGGAGCCGAGCGCAGCTTCTGGAGTGCGGTGGGGCAGAGGGAGGCGCTGCAATGGCTGCTGCTGCAGCAAGTGCCGCTTTGTGGCACCTGCAAGTATTGCATGGGACGGGCAGCGGTGCAGCAAGTGCTGCTTTGTGCCACCTCCAAACACTGCAACGCATGGGCAGCAAATGCCACGTAGTCCTGCATCCACATCCCCTGCACCCATCTGCATCCCTGCATCCCCAGCCTGTGCAGTGGTGCAGCAAGCACCGCTTAATGGCACCTCCAAGCATTGCAATGGATGGGTGCTGGTGCAACAAGCGCTGCTTTGTGCACCTCCAAACGTTGCAATGATGGGCGCTGGTCCTGCAGCGCGCACGCCCTGCTCCCATCTGCACCCTGCACCCCCAGCACGCAGCGCAATGGGTGCTGCTGCAGAAATGCCACTTCCATTGCGGCTCACAACCACAACGCGCCGCAGCCACGCAGCTCCTGCATCCGGCTGGACGGACGCTCTTTTAGGGCTGACCTGCAGGGCCCCCCTCCCCACCCACCCCATGGTTCCACAGCCCCCCCCGGGGTCACTCACACGTCACGCTGAGGCTGAGGGCCGGGGACGCGGCGCTGCCCCACGCGTCGGTGGCCGTGCAGGAATAGAACCCGGCGTCGGAGGCGGCGATGCGCGGGAGGAGCACGCGGTGTGCGGGGCTCTGCTGCAGCCACGCACCGTTGTGGTACCACGTGTAGTTCAGCTCCCGGCCCTCCTGGCCCGGCACGTCGCAGGACAGAGTGGTGGCCGTCCCTTCCTGCACCTCAGCCGCGGGGCTGACGGACACCTCTGCGGCTGGGGGGGGCGGGGGTGCTCAGGGGGGGTGGGAAGTGGGGCTGCACTGTCCTGCATAGCACCTTGCAGCTGCACTGCTGCACCTCCTGCGTCCTGCATCCCCAGCATCTCCTGCATCCTGCATTCCCTGCATCTCCCACATCCTGCATTCCCAGCACCCCCTGCATCCCGTACTCACCCCCCCCCCGCATCCTGCACCCCCTGCATCCTGCATTCTGCATCCACATCCCCTCCATCTACACACCTGCACCCCATGCATCCCCACATCCCCTGCATCCTGCATCCATACCCTGCATCTTCACCCCTGCACCCTTGCATCTCCTGCAACCCACGTCCCCTGCATCCTGCGGCCACACTCCCAGTCCTCTGCATTTTGCACCCTGCACGCTGAACACATAACCTCGCATCCTTGCATCCTCTGCATCCGCCCCCTGCAACTGCACCCCTTCACCCCCTGCACCCTCTGCACTCACGTTCCTCACCCCTGCATCCCCTGCATTCACAACCTGCACCTTCACCCCTACGTCCTTTTGTCCCCTGCATCCCATGTTCCACACCCCTGCATCCTGCACCCTACACCCACATCTCCATCCTCTGCATCCCATATCCCCTGCATCTGCTGCATCCGCCCCCTCCACCTGCACCCCTTCACCCCCTGTATCCCCTGTGCTCACACCCTGCACCTGAGCACTGCACCCTTGCACCCCCTGCATCCCACACTTTACACCCACACCTCCATCCACCGCACCCCGCATCCGCACCCCCCTCACCCCCTGCATCCCATATCTCCTTATCCTGCATCCCCTGCATCCTGCACCTCCCATCCCCTGCATTCACAACCTGCATAGGCACCCCTGCACCCTTTTGTCCCCCGTATCCCACATTCCATACCCCTACCCCTGCATCCCGTACCTACACCCACATCTCCATCCCCTGCATCCCTCACCCCCCTCATCCCCTGCACCCTGCATTCCCTGCACGCACCTCCTGCATCTGCATCCCTTAAACCCCGCGTCCTCTGC